TGTATCCCTGGAACTCATTGGACTGATTTATTCAAGTTGAAAAAAGAATTTGTGCCATTAGAACATGTGACTGATACATGGAACATATATACTAAGTCCTTTTCTGCGTAATTCCTGATGGGCAAGATGTTGCTACAGTGGAAAAATTTAGGGTAAGGTAAAATAATTATCTGGAAGTTCTATGTGGAAAACTTCAGAAAATAAATACCAACCCAATTCTGTCATTACTATACTTTTCAGCAAAGTAATTGTGATCTGTAATATGAGCCTCAAGCTACAAATTTCCATTAACATCATGTAGACGTAAAGGTAATTTTTTTGGTCAGGTTGAAAGAAGAAAACATGCTTGATATTAACTTATTACATTTCTAAATGTAGATGTGTAGAGAATGATGTTTCTGTGTCATGTAATATGGCAGAGAATATGTCTATTGTGCTTTGTGTATGAACAACTTATTTATATAGCCAGGCAAGAAAAAATATGAATTATATTCAACATTCATGCATACAAATGTATCTTTGTATGAAATGGGTAGGAAAAAACACAAAATCTGGCAGTCTGAAGATTATTTTTCTAGTAGGTAGACATGAAGAAAATAAGGTTTTACAATTTCCTACGTCTTCATATGAAATTGGAAAAAAATGGTTTTTACTCAAAGATAAGCACAAACTATCATTCACTGTCTTTAAGGCACATCACATTGCATTTTAAAAAATTACATTTAGAACACTTTATTTTGCCTTGGGGTACTGAGTTCTTTTCTAAGGGCTTTCAGTGCAGTTAAGACCATGTAAGTTAGCTATAGCACGGTCAAGAAAGAAATTTTTTTGAAATAACCAAATGAACCATGCTATTATATCAGATCATACAAACGTCTTAGATATACCAGAAAATAGGGATAGAAGAGGAAAGCATTAAAAAAAAGATATTTAACATCAGACCATGCAGTGGTTGAACGACACTGAAATATTATGTAAATGGTGAATTCTGAATTTAACAAATGATAAGCATGTTGGTGCCCAACAGATGAGTCTGTGGCCTGAAGTCGATTCCCTGGAACACCCTGAGCTGAAACTCTGTTATCCTGTAGCATATTCCTAACATGAAAGTCTTATGCTCCTCAGTTTTCCCATCTGAAAAATGAACATACTGAACTAGACATTCTCCAAAATCCATTGCAAGTCAGAGTCTGTGAACTTTCTAACAGTACTTTAAGCACATTGGAAGTGAAACTGTGTTTAAAAATCAACTTTAAAAATTCAATGCTATACTTGGTTTAGTCCTCTGGCATGTTATCTAATTTTAATTGTTTATGCAGGAAAAAATAGTGTAACGTATCATATTTAATTTTACAAATGTTTTAAGCAGCTGTACTCAAAGACTATAATGATAACAATAAGGATAATGTCTAGATAGCAAATATTATTACCACTGTGGAAACTAGCCATCTGTTTGGGTTCTACTATTCACAATATAAACTAGAACACACGTATTTTTATTTTCCTAAGGGGCATGGAAAATATTCCTTCTGATTATTTTCCCTTAGGCCTGTTGTGAGAAAGTCCAGGGTGTGCACATCCTCATATCTCCACAAAAAAAGGAGAAGCGACAAAGACTCAAAGTTCTCAAAGGTCATTTAAATGTGAAATTGTAAGTTACATGAAAGATTAACTGGATCTGTAGTGGAAGCAAATGGGAAGAATATCTCTCTTAAAATGTAAGAGCATGCTGAAGTGATACCTGATTCCTAAATCAAACCCGCATGTATCTGGCTGCTCATTCTGACACGGTACAGACAATCCTGGGGTGTCCCTACTGACAGGAAGGGACATCTGTCATCCCAGCCGACTGGCTCCAAACGCAGTCTCATCATGAGGCAGTCCCTATAAATAGAATTCCTGCTGGAAGGGCCTGAACAGGGAGACCCAGATTCATAAATATCACAGGTCTACAGGGAGACAGAAACGGAGCCAGAGGGGGCTGGGAAAACCCCTCAGCCTGCTCCACTTGCGCGTCAGCAAATGTAGAGCCCAACCATCCCTGCAAAGAGGGAGGATTTTTGGCAAGACAAAGGTTTACAAATAGAAGTACACGAGGAGGAAGAGAAGGAGGGAAAACCAGAGGAAAGGGGGAGTGGGAGGGAAGGAAAGAAGAGAGAAGGAGGAATAAAGAAGATAACTTTAAGGAAAGACTGTAAAGGAACAGTTTCCATAACCATGAATCCACATTTTGTAGCCTTGGGGAGACTAATGTGCTCTGATGGTTTTCCTTAACAAGACGTGATTGACATGTAAGCAGCAGTACAGGAACCTGAAGTGGCCATTCTATCACCTACAGGGCAAATTACACTACCGGTTCAACCCCAAAGAGTCTTGACACCTCTCTAGCCAAAAGTAACTCGCTGGAACACAAATTATGAGCTGAAACTCTACAGTCCTGTAGCACACTGCTGAAATGAACATCATTATCAGATGTCAGTTCCTGCTTCCCTCCTGTTTAACAGGATCGAAGTGGCCACTCCTGCTCTCTTCCCCTCTGGTTTTTCTTCCAGCCATGCTCCATCCTGCACCTGCCTGTGGTCTGTAAATATGTGGCCTACAGGAAGGGCCACTTCAGAGCCAGGCCACCATTAAAGTTGAGTTATTTACACTTATTTCTGTGCTTTAATGTTGTTGGGTAATATTTGATACTTGCTGGGTCTAGTTGATGTAAATTGGGCATAAATAGAAAGTGAAGAAAGTTTACTGCCTCCTTTTCCACCACCTTCTTTCCCAATGGACTCATGGCTTAATAGGCTCAGAAACATTTTGTTCTAAATGGAGATAAATCCAGAATTATGGGTACCCTTGTGTTCTGCTATCACTTCCCAGTTAAGAATCAGAACTGTTGCTATCCCAATCTGTGAGTTGTTTTCTCCCAGAACAAGTAAGCCTTTCAATGGAAAGCTTAGCTAGGAGCAGGTGGTGGTTGTGATTTAGTGAATATCTAGGTGTTGTGGATTGGTTACAGTTGAGGGAGAGGAGGTAGAATTAAGCATGTGGAGGTGCATGGATGTAGAAGATCACTCTGATCTGTTACTTCTTTTTTCTCGAAGAGTTGTTTTGCCAGAAAAGCCACGCAGTTTGAGTAAATATGAAACCAGCCACTTGACCTCAGTGATAATACTTCGTAGCCTCCGAAGCAAAGTGCCTGCTCCCTGGCCTCTGGCACCATTGACTCACCATGAGTCAATGACCCTTAAATAGAACCTCAGCAGGCTGGAGTTGGCTGCAACGAACTGGTCAATGTCACCCCTTCCTCTGGGTCCTGAAAAAGCTGTATCCACTCAAGCAAATGACTGCTATACAGGTTTGAGGGAGAAGGGGGAAGCAAAAAACAAACAAACAAAAGCAAGCAAAAAAACCATACTACTGAATTACTGGTTTTTCTATGTATTGACATCATACTGACTTCAATAAATTTGGGAGCTTGAAGTTGACTCAAACTTCCAGAGTCCTGAGGTCACTGCTCAGTGGATTAAAAGACATAAGTGAGAAGAAAGTCTCCTGATTCACTGTGTGTCTGTGTGTGTGGGAGTGTGCACATATGTGGACATTTAGATACATGCTTTAGAGTCAAACAGCTTTTTGGCAATGTGCCAGTTCTCACCCCTCCCACCCCCACCTCGTTTATCTCGTCTCTCATGGCGCAGTACTCCAAACTACGGGACAGGCTCTGTTCATACTCCTCAGCTTTGGCACGCCACTTCATGCTGTTCTCCTCAAGGAGCTCCAGCTGCTGCTGTAAGTTCTTTGCAGAAACATTAGAGCAGTGCTAAAAGAGACAAATGGTGGTAACGGGGAGAATGGGCGAAACAGCAATGAGATGAGTAGGCTATTTACCTGAATTATGAAACTCATAAATGACACTTTTTAAAAAAAGAAATAGGTTCCTGATTTATTTTACCTTAAACATATTTGAGCATAATTATTTCAGAAAGAAGCCAGACACCCAACATTATAGAAAAGACATTTCCCAGCTCGAATTTCTAGTGTTGAAGATTCACTCATCACACCCAACTCCTCAGAGACCCCATTCATTATAGGGTATAATCTTTACTTCAAAAGGCCTAAAATATGCATTAGAAACATTTGATTTCTGCACTATAATTTTCCTGTCAACTTGAGCTTAATCTCAGGTTCATTATGCAAGTGCTCCAATCTCAGCTCAGCACAGCGGGCTGCCAGGGCCAAGGCCAGAGGACGATTGGAGAACAATTCACATTATTTGCACAAAGTGAGACTTCTTGCTTTCTTATTCTTTTAAAAATAAATGTACTAATAAAATAAAACTCTTTAAAAAGAAAGCTCTTTCCTGGCAAAAAACCTATTCCATTAACAGCAGCAGATAATTTGTATTTCTGTATCTTTCAGTTCAAAAAATATATATTTTATATTCACTGCATTTCATATAGTTTAGTGGATATCTTACATGTACTTTAAAATAAAATGGGCCATTATGATTTTATTAATGTTATACCTGTTGTTAGAGTAAACATAATCTTTTCTCCCCTCAAGTTAGAAATCTGGAGAAGGATTTTGTGTTTTATTTTGTGTTTGTTGGTAGTGGTGGTTTTTGTGTGTATGTGTGTGTTTTTTTTCTTTTTTCTGTTTTGAGATGGAGTCTTATTCACTCTGTTGCCCAGGCTGGAGTGCAATGGCTGGATCTTAACTCACTGCAACCTCTCCCTCCCGGGTTCAAGCGATTCTCCTACCTCAGCCTCCCAAGTAACTGGGATTACAGGCATGTAATACCACACCTGGCTAATTTTTGTAGTTTTAGTAGAGACAGAGTTTCGCCATGTTGGCCAGGCTGGTCTTGAACTTCTCGGCCTCCTAAAGTGCTGGGATTACAGGCGTGAGTCAATGTGCCCAGGCCGAAGAAGGATTTTTTTTTAAGAATCAATGTCCAGTGAATTATTGATGAAAATTTGATCTGGGAATATTTCCTTCTCTTTTAGGCCCCTCTTTTGAAGTCTGACAGTGGCATCAAACAAATCCAACGAGCCCTGGCTAGAATCAGGAGACTTGGACTTCTCCATTCTGGGCTTTTATGGGTAAGGTGGGAATTTCTGTTTGCCTCAAATTCTTCATCCATAAAATGATAGCTCTGGCCTGGGTGAACTCTAAGATCTAGATGGTCTTCCAGATCAGCAATGCTAAAACAGCATTGGCCAACAAAAATAGAATGTAAACACACAAATAATTTTAAATTGCCTAGTAGTCATATCAAAAAATCAAATAAAAAGATAGAGCAAAATTAATTTTTATAATATAACCAAGTATGTCCAAATATCACCATTTTAACATGTAAGTAATATAAAAAATACTAATATGATTGCTTTTCATAATACCTCTTTGCAATCTGGTGTGTATTTCATACTTTGAGCATCCTCACTTGTTGCTAAATTTTGATCAGAAATACTTGATCTGTATTTTAATTTTTTTAATTTACAGTTTCAAAAGTTGATTCCCATACCCAAATTGCTCTCAACATACTTAAAAGTTTTCCAATAACTATACTGAGGATCAGTTTTTCAATTTGTATTTAAATTAATGCAAGTTAAATAAAATTAAAACTTTAGTTTTTTAGTTGCATTAGGCACATGTCAAAGGCAAAAAAGTGACTGCGACACTGGACTATACAGATCTACTATATAAATACTCTTAAAAATTTTTTCATGAGAATAGAGGTATTCAACAAGACTTTTATATTCAGATTTTCTACTTAAAATTTTTTCTCTTGTCAGAGGGTAGAAACGAATCACAAATAACTACCCCAATGGTTTATTTTTAAATTTAACATATACTAAGCAATCTGCCTGGTTTCTTTCATACGCTAGCCCAAGCCCCAGTTAGAACTGAGTCAAATGATGGTGGTGTTGGATGCTTACAGGCCGCTGCACTGATGAGATGATGTCTACTCCTAAGGAAAGGGCCAGTCTGTGGAGATGGTCTACACGTGCTTGCTTTTCCTGAGAGCACCAGAGGTGAATCTGCACATCGTGAGCATCACCCAGTTCCTTCGGCTGCTCTACAAACTCCAGCTCTCTTGATTTGATGAGATGTCCCAGCTAAAATTTAGGGCATTAACAATTAACCTGAGTTTTATATGAAGACAGATTTTTTTTTTTTAAGCCTAATTTCTATAGCACATTTTGCTAGCTGGTCGAAATGCTGCCAAGGCCATCTATAAACTGTTGGCATTAGCCAAATAAGAATGCTGCAAATCCAATGGTGGTAAAATTGAACTGCTAACGTCGTCAGTTCCATTAAAGAAGGAAATTCTTTTTGGTCATGAACCAAAACATTAGCAAGATCTAGGCCTGTGCTCTGAGTAAATTTAGAGGCTATTTTAAAGGGATATTAATTAATATTCCTCTATCTTATGTTAATAGAGACCATAACTATGAAGTTTTTGTAAAAATGCCACCAACAAATAGCACTCCGTGATGTCAGGTACTTGAAGTGCAAAAAAAAAAAATTGACCTTGGTTTCTGCCCTCAAAGAGCCTACAACTGAATTGGGTGGGGCGGGGGGTAGGGGAGGGAAGCTATGCTTATCAAAAAGTAGTTAAGAATCAAGATAGTAAAATGCAAGATATGTGGAATAAATAATGAGCTCTAGGATTTTTGAAGAGAGAGAAATCACTCCAAGTGAGGTAGGATTGTTGGAAGGAGGTATAGGATTTAGATAAGAGGGAGGAGAAAGACAGACTTGTCAAATAATGGCAGCCTGAGAGTCAAGGGTTGGAGTTAGATATGTGTGCATCATCTCTGAGGGATGAAGAGCTCAGTTTGTCTGGAACAAAAGGAAGAATAGGAACATAGTGAGAGTAAAGATAGGAGCCAGATTGTGTAAACTTCTGATATTAGAAGATACAATTTGGCCTTTATTTATTATTTAATAATTCATTTTTAATTGCATAGTTTAAAACTCAGGATTTTTCAAACATCCCTTCTAAGCCTTACCGCTTCCTTGACTTGATGGAACTGGACCACCTTGTACAGGATATCCTCGTAATCCTGGATTCTCTCTTTCTGTTTTTGTTGGAGGTGAATGAGGTCCTTCAGTTGTTGAGACTTTTCTTTTACAGGGGCTCCTTTGCCAGTTAACTCCTCTGATTCTTTCATAATGTATTGAACCTCATCATTTAATTGCTAAAATATTGAAAGTGATAAAAAAAATCTTGCTTTTAAAGAACTTTTTTACTTTGCAACTGACAATATAAAGGTCTAAACAATGAATCACTCATTCATTTGTCAACAAATACTTATTATGAATGCCCTCACCCTCCAAAAAATTTGGGCACTGTGCTGGATGATAGAGATACATCTTTCTATATTCATCTGAGAAGTTTACAAAAAAAATAGCATGAGCAATGCAAAAATGTTTCAAAGCTATGTGGAAAAACAAAGTCATACATTTCTATGGCATACCGAATATACTATTCATCTGTTAAGTAAATGTATTTTAGATATTTTATGCAGCCCCATGATTATCTCTGATATTTAATACAGACTAGAATCAGGCGGTATGGTAAAAACACCATGAGGAGATGAGTGTAAAAATATATCAGGGGAATAACTTGTGCTCTGTGATAAAAGAATGATCAGAATGAACCACCAGCTGAACAGCATAGTAGACAGACTGTTTCAAAAGCGGTCATCCCATGATCCACAAATAGCCATCACATGTAGGGAAGGATAAACTGCCTTCTCTTTCACCCGGCATTGCTCAGATACCCCTTATGGGAATCCAGATTCTGGAACAGAATTTACAACGGGGGCATACTTTAAAGAGAATGCTACTGTAGGCCGGGCACGGTGGCTCACGTCTATAATCCCAGCACTTTGGGAGGCCAAGGAGGGTGGACCACCTGAGGGCAGGAGTTCAAGACTACCCTAGCCAATATGGCAAAACCCTGTCTCTACTAAAAATACAAAAATTAGCCGGGCGTGGTGGCATACACCTGTAATCCCAGCTACCCCAGAGGCTGAGACATGAGAATCACTTGAACCTGGGAGGCAAAGCCTGCAGCAAGACAAAATTGTGCTAGTGCACTCCAGCCTGGGCAACAGAGTAAGACTCTGTCTCAAAAAAAAAAAAAAAAAAGAGAGAGACAGAGTGAGAGAAAGAGAGAGAATGCTACTATAATTTCAAGCGTAGATCTTTTGTATGAAAGGTAAAAGCAATGGAAATGATTTAGACTAAGGAGATAATTTTCAGAAGAGTGACCTAAAAAGGGTCGTCGAGTTTAAGCATTTGGACATCAAATATATGTGCACCACAGTGACGGGGCTAAAGAAGTATGGCAATGGTCCTGATTTAGAGGAACTTACATGTACATGCAAATGTGCATACAAACAAAACGCATATAAGCAGATAACACAGGGTGTATTAAAGAACCTAATATAGGCCAGTCACATTTGCTGAGAGTTTTAAAGAGTTTGCTGTGGGTTACAGTGGTGGGTGTGTTTGTGTGTAGCAGGCGTGGTGGCTATGTTTTACATTGGTTTTTGTCTTAATGGAACCTACAGTTCCCTAAAGGAATCTTCAATCTTCTGATTCTGGGATTCTTTGAAGCCCACATTTATGAAGTAGTGATAGCTAGAAACACAGGTATCTAAATTTTGCAGCAAAGCATAAGAATCCAGGCAGAAGTATGATGTGACTAGCAGCTGGCAATTTTTGGTAGTTGTGTCACATTTTGGAGAGGCAAGAGGCAGGGAAATAGGGACTGTGTTAAGCAGTCAGGGTCAGGAGCATGACTTGTGGTTTTGTTGCTCATATCCTGAGAGGTGGAGTGGAGAACACAGCAAAATTCCTGGGGTGCTGGTACGTGCCTGGGGTGCTGGTGGGTGAGGACAGTGACATAACAGTGGTCACCTCAGGGACTCAGGGCAGCAGAGCCTCTGGGTCCGAGGTTGCCCATCCTTGTTCTGAGAGGTCTCAATTTAAAACACCTCTGCACTCCCCAGGAAAAGAATTAGAGTGAAAATACAGGATAAATATATGACTAGTTTAATTAGCCATGTGAATTTTAAAAATCTAAGATAAAAATCTATTTAGGACATTTTGTAGCCCAAATGTTGGTATATCATCAAATTCAAAAGAATGTAGGAAAACAGTAAGAAAAATGTCCCTACAGTGGATTTTTAGACAAGCGATACTTTTGTTTAAAAAATAGAAATTCACCAGCCTATTACAATTAATCAGGTAAACTGCAACCAAACAGTTTTAAATATTTTTTCCATTCACCCAAATCCGGCAATGTATTTCTTCACCTGGAACTGAGGCTTCATGTCATTCCATTTTTGTCGTAGCTCTAAAATGAACTGGAGGCTCCCTCCAAGGTCAAGTGCAGACACAGGCATAAGTGCTTCCTGAAGAAGTTTTAAGTTGTGAGTAGTCTGAAATAAATATTGGACAGTTACACATGCATTTTCTTTGACATCTCCAGCAAATGTGATCATTCTAGTAATGACAAGAGTGTGATCAAATTTTTCAAACCCCATGAAAACGCTCAGGATGTGGCATGAGCTCAGGGTTCTAAACAACCAAGGAGTAAGGCCCTTGGTTTCTGCTGCCTTTTTTGGTTTTACTGTGGTAAAATATACATAATAAAAGTTACCATGTTTACCATTTTGGGGTATACATTTCAGAGGCATGATATTTAATACATTCATATCATTGTGCAATCACCATCACCACCATCCATCTCCAGAACTTGTTCATCATCCCAAACAGAAACTCTGCACCCATTAAACAACTCCCCATTCCCTCCCTCGAACTCCCAGCCCCTGGTAACCTACATTCTGCTTTCTGCCTCTATGAGTTTGACGACAGTGACCTCATTTATAAGTGGAATCACACGATATTTATCCTTTTGTGTTTGGCTTATTTCACTTAGCTAGTGTTTTCAAGGTTCGCTCATGTTAGCCTGTGTCAGAATTTCATTCCTTTTCACACCCCATTGTCCCTTGCCTCACCTTTTTAAGCTGCTCTTTGAATGCCGCCCACTGCTGTTTGACAGGCTTGCTTTCCGTGGCTTTAA